AACATAGCCATTATGCTAACTGCTGGTTCCCAACAACTGACTTTTAATAGTGCACACATATGCAATTAGCCTGGACTTTTTAACCCAATGTAGCTAAAGCAGGAAAACAAACTCCAGTCAAAATGACACATAGTTTAGCTTTGTATGCATTCCAAATTCATCACAGGCATCTCAATAATTTTAAGGCTTCTTACTAGGTGTAACTCATAAAAACACATCTCACATAATACTCTCTCAGGTCTAAAACTAAGAAAGTGTATTTATTCTAGAAAAATATTCCCTTGAAAATTATTGCTTATTGATTTTATTCTACTGTCAAGACCAAAGTATTTAGTAAGACTGTTCCAGCTACCTGAACAGGACATTTTTATTGGTAATAAGACAACATATTACTCAGAGTTCAAATGGGAAGACCCAGTGGCCAAGTCTGTATCACTTTAACCTTCTACTGATGGCCAAGCAGCACAGATGGGAAGCCATGCTGATGGATGAGGATGTCTCCGCAGCAGTCATCTCATCCCTGACAAACACTTTAGATGAATGACCTATTAAACATGGTTGACCCAAGGCAGTGGGAGAGATTGATAAGTGACTGTAGCTGTTAAATGTGGGATCTTCTAGCACACACAGTCTGAATATAGTTTCTTTTCTCGTAGCTTTCACTTCCAGTTCCTAGGAAGCATCCATCCAAATTTGAGTCAGGAAAGAGGATAGGCACAAATGGAGATTAGGAGAACCTATACAATCAAAATAATCTTAAAATACCAAAAGGAATTATAGGATAAAATGAATAAGCATATTGAGGAGATAATATAGATATAAAATGCTAATTTAAGTTTACATTATCTAGTATTCTTTCTTTATAGACCCCGAGTCTGCATAGAAGTAGGGGTTTTGATGTCAAATTATAACTTATCCTCTGTTTCTACCTGACAAGAGACAGGCTAGGAGAGAAATTTACTGGATTGAGTGATAGTAGCAGGACTCTTGTGTGATCTAGAGGATGTCTTTCAAATTTTGAAGATATTAGTTTCCTTATTTATTTATGAGAGTGAATCACTCTAAATTTTTTTCATACAACTATGAGTTTTGCTTTTCTATTTCATGTATCTATTACTCAGTATTTACTGTCTTACAGGCCTTTTCTATAAAATTAAGATTACTATGTTATTAAACATCTAAATTGTTTTTAAATATATAGATATAGATATATCTTTTAAATACATATATAGATATAGTATATCTATCTATATCTTTTAAATATATATATATATATTAAATCCCCTTTTTCATGGTCAGCAGATAACATGGCAGTTATGTCCCTGGACTCCTACATGGCCAACTATGGTTCAAATCCCAGACCTTGAAATTCACCCTGGGCATATGTACATGCGTGCCCAAGACCCTGGGAGGAGAAGAGATTGCAGCATGGTCATCCCCCCGGAGGAGTGATTTCTCATTCTCTCCCACTATCTGCTTATCTCTCTCCAGCAAGTGCATATGCCCTACGGGGAAAAAAAAAAAAAAAAAAAAAAAAAAAACTCTTAAAAAATCCCTCTTTATTCATAACAGAGGATGAGTGCACACACATATCGTATAGGGAGGCACCCTCTATAAGGTGTGGTCATGCCATGGTTTCTTTCCTCCAGCCCATCTTATCTTGGGTATTCATGCATGCTTAGTATATTTGAAACCAACCAGGCCACAGGTTTCTAACCACTACCACTGTGAGGGATCCAGCTTCTCCTGAGAAGTGCATTACAGCTGTGCCATGGAGCTAGCCCCTGTACTTAGACACATTTTTATCATATATGTTATCTTCTATCTAACTTATTATCTGTAAGCTCAATAAGAGCAGTAAGTAGTGTCTGTTTTGTTCACTGATGTATATATCAAGCTCTTTGACACAAAGTACACACCCGATATTTGTAAAATGCATGATTAAGTGGAACAATGCATGTAAAGTGCTTAGTGTTGGCACAAGCAGTTGATAAATATCCTATAAATGGTCCTGATAAATGATTTTATTAACACCCACAGTGTCATCTCACAAAGACAGTTGGAAGAATTAGGGATGTTTCAAAGAGAACTTGAAGGAGACTGCGGGCCATAGTAATGTTTCTAAATATTTGAAGGAGTATCACATGGTTCTTTCAAAGACACAGATGTGAGGGAACCAGCAGTTAGCATAATGGCTATGTCGCTGGACTCTCACGTAGTCGACCGCGGTTCACGTCCCGGACCCAGTGGCTTAAAACTCACGCCGGGCACGTGTGCATGCGTGCCCAAGATCCCGAGAGGAGAATGGAGGAGGAGGGATTGCAGCGGGAGCATCCCCCCGGGGGGAGGGATTTCTCGCTTTCTGTTTCTCTGTTTCTCGCTTTCTATTTCTCTGTTTCTCTCTGTCTGTCCGGCGAGCACACGCGCCCTATAGTGAAAAACCTCTCCAAAAAAAAAAAAAAAAAAAAAGACACAGATGTGAGTCAAGAGGTAGAAAGTACAGGAGATCATTTCTAAAATTCTAAGAAAGAAAGATTTTTCTAACACAGTTGGTCAAAGATGAAATGAACACTGAAAGTGTTAAATTTTTACATAGCCAATCAATGAAGGGATTAAAAAGTCTAATGAAAGGTTATCACTCTATTATCCCATGAATTAAATGATTTGGACAAAATGTCTCTGTACACAAGTACAATTTTTAAAAATAAACAAAACATTGAATTTTGGCTTTGTGGTGCTATTGGCAATAAAATCAGATTGAGAACTGGCAAATATACTAAATACAAATATATTCTTTATGTACATGTGTTCTAAGAACATTTACTTGTTGATAAATAAACCATATGGCTAAAAAATCAATGCTAATTTGTCTTATTAATAATGCTAACAACAGCAGTAGACAGAAACTGCATAATCCTTTATCCCATATCAGAAATCCAGGACTGTTTTAAACCAACTCCTTCCTTTGCTGTTCTATTTACCCGGTAGTAACGCTGCACTTTGGAGTATGAGATTATTGACAGAAGACATATTCATGGATTGTATGAAACTAACAGGTACATCACTCCTGCCAAGTAGGTATTATTTTAGACAGAATGTATGATGTTAATGATAAAGAAGTCCCACTCATTATTATTTTTATTAAGGATGTGTAGCCTTATACCAAAGTAGTCCCATCAACTCTTACCATCAGATCAAAATGAAAAGAAATAGATACATAAAGTGGCTGTCATAGAATGTGTTCAAGGAGAAGCTAAATCTGATCACAGAAGTTCAGTTAAACATTTAGACAATAAAGTGTGTTTTCTTCAATGAGCTATCAAAGTAAGTAACAAGGGAGTTGTATTTCTATTCGGTCGTGGGAAAAGGCGTGATGTATTTTTCTATGCAGAATGCATCGTGACTTTTCTGATGACCCAATATTTGAGAAATATGTATAGATCTTGAGAAAGATACAGTGGTTTCTAAGGTTTCCACAATCTTTATATTGAGGAAAGATGTGTGATACATGGTAATTTTTTTTGGAGAGGTTTTTGCTACAGGGTGCATGCATTCACCAGAGAGACAGAGAGAGACAGAAAGTGAGAAAACAACCCCCAGGATTAATGGCCACGCTGCAATCCCCTCTCCTCCATTCTCCTCTCGGGATCTTGGGCACGCATGCACATGTGCCCAGCATGAATTTAAGCCAGGAACAAGACTTGAACTCCGGTTGACTACATGGGAGTTCAGCAAGTTCAGCAACATAGCCATCCACTAACTGCTGATCCCCATGGTAACTTTTAATGGTAGGGAATGATAGAAGACTGCTACTGATCAATTCCTATGTTACCATTTCAGTAGTGAGCTTCATTCACTCCTATGGTATTGTTTAATTGTGATGGTTAATTTGATGTGCCTCCTTGGCTGATGTGAATGCCCAGACATTCAGTTAACCATTATTCTGCCTCTATCTGTGAAGGGTGTTTCTGGATGAGATTAAAATCTGAATGAAGCTATTGAGTAGAGCAGATTTTCCTCCCTAATGTGGATGACTCTAGTCCAATCAATTGCATATCTAAATACAAAAGGCCGAGTATGACGGAATTCTTTTAGCTAGTCTGTATGAGATGGGAAATTGGTCTTTTCCAGACTTCAGACTTGAAATTGAACATGGGCTTTTCTTGGGTTTCAAGCCTGCTGCTTAGCTCTCACGGTTCTCAGGACTTTGTAACTACACATCCTTTCTCTTAGGTCTCCAGCTTGTCACATGCGTATCTTAGGACTTATTAGCCTACTTAATTATGTGAACCAATTCCTTATAGTAATTATATATCCATTACACGTACATGTGTCTAACACATATATATGCTTATTTTATTATGTATCTTTTGGTTTTGTTTCTCTGGGCAACTTGCCACTGTTCAGAAACACCAGTGGGAAATGATCCTATTTGTGCCAATCAAATGAATTATCCGAATAATTAAGGTCAACCTCTGTAAAAGCTAATGTTTTAGAACCATGTCTGGTAACAATGTAGGTAATCAGGATAGGTAATAACATTTCTGTAATATAAAATAATGAGCCTATTTTCTAATGCTTGAAAGCAATTTCTCATTTTCAAACCCCAAATGCTATGATTCTTTATCATAAATCAAGCTTATATCGCCATTCTAGAAATCAGTTTCAAAAGCAACTGTAATAAGCTTGATATGTGCTTATTTCCTGAGGGAATTACTCAAGCATTTAATAATCCATTTCATTACTTCAGAGTCATTTTTTGAGGATTAAAAGACTCAGCATCTTCATACATGATTCCTGTTACCACCATCAATCATCATATGGCATATCAACTTATTTTCCATGATTTTCTCCATGCACTGGTATGTGTCATATTTAGGCCCTATTTCCACCACTCAAATTATACTTCCAAAGCACCTGTCCTTGTGCCCCCAAAGAAACCCTTCAATAGTGCCAAATTCTTGACATTAACTCCACGTGAATTTCTCACTGTCACTTACCTGCCAAGCAGCAGAAATTCTCCCGCTAGACCCAGGCGCCTCATAGCCATCAGCAGACCTCTCACTGTCATGCCCTCACAGAAGCAGGCCACCACTCGGGCCTTGGGCAAGTGGCTCACGAGCTTCTTCAGCAGCTTATCAAAGCTCTGCTCCCCCGCATTGCTGTAGATTTTGTAAGAGTGGGCGATGCAAATCCCTTCCTTGGCTGACATATCTTTGAAAGCCTCCATCCCACTTTCTCCGTAGTTGCCTGTGTAAAAACATAGACAAACAGGGAGATAGAAAAATTAGAGTGCTGTATTAATTAGGTACAGTCAGAATGGAGAGATGTCAGATGTATAAAGGTCACTTTGTGGTGGTGTACTTGGAAACTGAAGACCTGAATTTGAGTTGCTCTTTCACAGACTTGTTCATTTTGGGGAAATTACAATTCAACTGTTGGGTTGTTAGAAAAGTCATGACATATATTTTTCTATGTTTTTCTTTGTAAAAACAGGACATGACTTTTCTGACAACTCAATACATTACAGATATATGCATGATCTTATTACATGTTCAACAGGACAGAGAGAATAATATTAAAAAAAAAACAGGTAATTCGGGTTCCCCCTTGGACACAAAAAAGTTAATATTGTAAGTGAAGACATTTGTCTGATTTTTAAAAAAGTTTGATCTCTCTTCCCTTTGGTTGTCATTATATAATTTCACTCCACTGACTAAGATTTCTGTGTTTAAAGTTACTGGACACACATGTAATATATATACTTTATGTAGCATGGATGTTACCATCCAAACATTTTATTCAGTATTATTTTTATACATACTGGGTTGTCAGAAAAGTAATGATGCAGTTTTGCATAGAAAAAAAAGCATCATAAAACTACTTGTGGAAAATGCTGGGGAAACTCTGGGAGACATTGGAGTAGGCAAAGACTTCTTAAATAAGACTCCCAAAGCACAGGCAATAATCCCTAAAATAGACAAGTGGGACTATATTAGACTAAGAAGTTTCTGCACAGCAAAGGACACAGTATCAAGTGTGAACCGACAACCCTCAGAATGGGAAAATATTTTTGTTAAATATGCCTCAGACAAGGGACTGATAACCAGAATACACAGGGAACTCAAGTGCCTTATGCGAAAAAAAAATGATTAACCCAATTAAAAGATGGGAAAATGAGCTGAACAAAAGTCTCTCTAAGGAAGACATACGAACAGCCCAAAAGCATATGAGGAAATGCTCAACATCCCTCATCATAAGGGAGATGCAGATACAAACCACAATGAGATACCACCTAACCCCTGTCAGAATGGCAAAGATTAAGAATATAAAAAGTGATAAGTGTTGGCGGGGATGTGGTGAAAAGGGAACCCTCCTGCACTGTTGGTGGGAATGTAAACTAGTTCAACCACTGTGGAGAACAATATGGAGGTTCCTCAAAGATCTACAAATAGAACTACCATTTGATCCAGCAATCCCACTTCTGGGTATTTACCCAAAAGACAGGAGAACGCTCAGTCAGAAAAGTGCTTGCACATCCATGTTTATTGCAGCATTATTCACAATTGCCAAGACATGGAACCAACCTAAATGTCCACAAACTGATGAATGGATTGGAAAAGTGTGGTATATATACTCTATGGAATACTACTCAGCCATAAAAAATAACAAGACCCTGGAATTTGATAGAAAATGGTCAGATATGGAGGATCTATTGCTGAGTGAAGTAAGCCAGGCTATGAAAGAAAGATATTGTATGTATCCACTCAATATATACCGACTATCCGCACTCTATAATAGAGAGCAAAAATTCGGAGGACATAAACACAGTGAAGGTACTTAATGAGAATAGGACAGTGTGGAATGGGGTAAGTGAAGAGAAGAGGATAGAGAAAGATAGCAAGTGAACAATAGAGAGACAGGACGTTAGTGAGAAACAGATAGGGCTTATTAACTGTTGATGATGACATGTATAGAATTCTCAACTGGATTGGTCTGAGAAGTGTTTCATGATGGGCAAAGTATTTTTACAAGCAAAACGAGAAATAGCAATTGACTGTTTTATAAAAATAATTAGAATAATAAAGATAATGATTGGGGAAAACAGAAAAGATATTGAATGTTGAAGTGGGGAGATTAATGTCTGTACTGACTGACATGCATGGCATTCCCTTTTGAAAAAACAATGTAATACACTGTAAAGTTATATGTAATCCAATGTAATATAAAGAAGATTATGATGATAATAAAAAAAAGAAAAAAAAAAGAAAAGTCATAAATGGGCACTCTAAAAAAAAAGCATCATCACTTTTCTGACAACTCAATAATTTTCTGCACATTATGAAGAATCATGGGCTAGCCCATGGCATGGTGGTTAAGGAGGCTGGATCTCCCATGACCATCTAGGCAGTGAGTCTTGGACCCAGTGGCTTGAAAAACACACCAGGCACATCTATGTTCAAAATCCTAAGAAACAAATGGGGCAGAAGGGTTTGTTGCATGGCTAACCTCACTGAGAAGTGGTTTCTCACTTCCCCCCACTCCCTAATCTCTCTCTGGTAAGTACATGCACCCTATAGGGAATTAAAAAGAAAACAAAAAAAATGAAGAAAGAAGAAAAAAGAACCATAAGAATTTATGGTTGTGTCCCAAGTGAAGAACCCAGATACTGGACAGAGATTTAGTCTTGTTATAGATAAATGTGTAAGCTCATAACAAATATTTAAAGTTTTAGTCTACACAACTACAAGGAAGTTAGTGATATGGGTGAATAATTTCAAAGTCTTTTGCAAAATGTGGGAGGTAACAACTAATGATAGTCTTTTAAATTTAATGAAAAATGGGGGTAGACAGTGGCAATCAGTTAAATGCCAGGGATAAGCCAGGATATTTATATATGCGATCTGATCTAACTCACAGTAATGTTCTGAGTACCTGCAATGACTTGGTTCTGCAGATAAGGGCACGGATGAAGTAGTTAGATGCATATTTTCCCTGAGTAACATGAGCAGTCAGTAGAAGGCTGAACTCTATTCACAGAGGCAATGGAGCAGGTTTTGCTTCCTCTACTCTTCTATGGCTAGCTGCTACAAGTCCCAGAAGTTCAATTACATCTGCATTTCTCTTTCCCATATTTAGGCCATGATGCTTCGACTATAGATAATGCTGAAGTACTTTTAGGCTCTGTAAATCCCACTAGGCTCATTTTCTGAGTTTCCTCAAGATTAGGTGGTGAAGGAAATTGATTTGAAGAAAATAGGAGATTATTACAAGACAACTAAATTGTAGAACATGCAAGGATGAGGCTGGCTTAAAAATCAACCAGATGTAGGGATTGGGATTTTATCAGCAAGTGTAAATCCAAATGAATAAAGTATTCTGGATACTCAATTACATAGAGTCCATTCTGTGCCTCTAATGAAGATAACTGATAAGTAACCCCACGTGTGTAGCAGCTGGATTTTTGGAAAGTCAGTTCATATATGTTAGGTCACTGCTCCTTATGACAACTTCGTGACAAAGGTTAATATTGTTTACCCCTCATGGCTATAAAACTGAAGTCCAAATATAGGTGGCAGAGTCTTGATGTGAACATATATCTTCTAATTACTATCGTGTGTGTGTGTGTGTGTGTGTGTGTATGTATAGATAATGCTGAAGTACTTTTAGGCTCTGTAAATCCCACTAGGCTCATTTTCTGAGTTTCCTCAAGATTAGGTGGTGAAGGAAATTGATTTGAAGAAAATAGGAGATTATTACAAGACAACTAAATTGTAGAACATGCAAGGATGAGGCTGGCTTAAAAATCAACCAGATGTAGGGATTGGGATTTTATCAGCAAGTGTAAATCCAAATGAATAAAGTATTCTGGATACTCAATTACATAGAGTCCATTCTGTGCCTCTAATGAAGATAACTGATAAGTAACCCCACGTGTGTAGCAGCTGGATTTTTGGAAAGTCAGTTCATATATGTTAGGTCACTGCTCCTTATGACAACTTCGTGACAAAGGTTAATATTGTTTACCCCTCATGGCTATAAAACTGAAGTCCAAATATAGGTGGCAGAGTCTTGATGTGAACATATATCTTCTAATTACTATCGTGTGTGTGTGTGTGTGTGTGTGTGTATGTGTGCATGTGTTCTTCACCAGGTGCCTTCCTGCAGATGAAATCCTCGAACTTCAAGAGTAGATTTTTCTGTGGTTTTATCTTTCTGGACATACTGGAAAGCCCAAAGCAGAGCAGGACAGGTTGAGGCCCAACCCAAACCACAGGTGGTCCGGTTGCCTCTTTTCCTTTTTTCTCCAGAATTAAAGCCAGTAAGAAATCTCTGTGATGATGGCAGGTGGGCAATCTAGTTATTTTGCAATTATCAAAGTTTAAAGGACACAATCTGAAAAAGGTGCTAAGGGTCCTAAATTACTTGTTTTACATTAATTTGAGTTATCTATTATACTTTGATTTATTTTTAACCAACCCTGTTTTCAACTGTCTTGAAATTAATGCTTTAATGATATATCTGCATAAATGGTTTACAATTAGGTATACTGACTGTGATGAAAACAATAAAAATTCTCAATACATTCACAGTTAAGCAATAAAAAAAATCCTCACAAACTATCATTAATACCTCGCCTAACAAATTCATTTTAAAATTCTTTTCATTTATATAGTATGTTGTATAAAAGCAATGTGTGATAGTGGAGAAAACCTTATCATCAGAGAAATCTACATTTAAATTCAATTTGGATAGTATCTTTAAGTTCATATTTCTCACCTGAAAGTTAGAGGTACCACTTTAACATCTGGATAGTGTGTATATCATATTTAATGTATGTAAAATATCTGGTAGGTAGCTTTAACCCATGAATTATGTCTATTGGAATTATCACAAATATTCTAGACGAAGTTCATCTGCTCTGACTTGGAGAAACCCAAAGAAAAATGAAAGCAAATGGCATTATTACTGAATATTAGACTAAAGAATAAGCTTAGGACCAGCCTCATAGTGTAGTAGTAAAGTACTGTGTGTTGGAAACTGGATCCCACATGGTCAACCCTGGTTCAAAGCTGAACCTGAGACTTGAAAAACACTGGGAACATGTGCTTGCATGCCCTAAATCCAAACAGGCTAAACCCTAAAGGAAAAAGAATTGGAGCATGCCTATGCCTCTGTGGGGGATGGCTTTCACTGTCTCTCTGGAGAACACACTTGCCCTCTTGCAATTATAAAAAAAGAAAGAAAAA